AGCTTACGTTTTGCGAAACAGGCATTCACCCTTGCATTTTCGTAGGAAATGCAAATTCTCTAGTTGCTTTTGTTGTTGTTTTATAGAGGGTTATTTTGGCTGTGTTGTGTGTGGGTGTATGTTGGGGGAGAGTAAAATACAATAGAGTTATTTTATTAGAAAAAAAAACTGTCTTGTTATTCTACAGTGTGACAGACTCCTGTTTCATTGAGCCTTCCCTAGACCAGTAAGTAATTACAATCTTAAACAGTAGTAATGATTGTCAGCTGGTGGTTCCTGGGCCACATCAGGCCTGTGAGCTTATTCCAAATGGCTCATGAAGTATTGAATCAGATACAATCCAATGCTTGAATCACTTATAAGAAAGAAACTACCCAAAACCACTGAGCCAAGTTGTAATGTACCATCAACCATATTCTGAATTATAATGGGCTCCATAAAAAATGACCCAGGATGACTCTACTACTGGCAGAAAAACAAAAAAGCCAGACTTGATTTTACCTAAATGTATTTTGATAAACCCTAAGGTTTTTAGGATGGACGATCGATCACTGCAGTTGTGTTGTTTGATAATAAACAAATTTATTTGTATTTAATTGGTCTACACCTACTGTATGTAGACTTTTAACCTCATCCAGGTTCTGCAAAACTTTTAAATTATGTTTCTCATCCACCTACTTACACTTATACAGTGAAAATTATATTTAGGGCAGTGGGTTGTACGGTGTCTTGCCCAAAGATACTTTGGCACACTWGCATGGGATGGAGATTGAGCCCTCGATCCTCTGATTAGACAACAACCTTCCTACCACTGGACTGAACTACCCCCACCCCACATACAGTACATGACACACTTTGGCATGCATGTTTTTTTTTTTTCTCTTGCCAGTCTTGGCCAAAATCCGATGTCAATATGACTGATGTGTATCCGGTTTAGATGTTTTACAAAACTGTGTTAGTTATATCAAGTGTAGTCTAGTTTTAGCATAGGCATAAATAGATGATTTAGAAATTYTTTCAACTTATTTTCACCACAAAAAGTGCTCACTGCTTCCTGATTCCTACTTCCCTTTTTCTATAACAGAACGATTAAGGTGGAAAATAATACCAACACCTGCAAATTGGTGTTGGTATTTGGAGACCCAGCCTTCCTAGTATTTTCAGCACCTGTACATGATTAGGAATAGAAGCTCTAAGTTCTGTTATTGGTGAGAGTTAGTATACTTTATGTTTAATGTAAATAAAGCTAGAAAAATCATACAAATATCATCATGAGGTGACTCAGAATACTCATGGATCACAGTTTAGGTCACAGTTGGAATCGACCACTCCCCACACCCTCCGGCAGCACCAAAACATTCTATCTATAAAAGTTATGAACAGAATCAGTGACAACAAGCAATGGTGAGGAGTCCATTTTCCATCCTGAAGGGGTTCAATTTACTGGTTGTATAGGACTGAATGTCATATAGATGAGATGTATTTTATTTAAACTGTTTGCAGAGCACAGCAAAAATGCCAGTGTTAATTTAACACCCACAGTGTTAATTCGAACACCAAAGTGTCTATAGGTGTCCATACTCGCTGGTGTTAAAATAACATTTGTGAAAGCATTAAATTTTTAACACCCATTTTTTTTGTTCATTTAACACCAACTAGTGTTTAATATTTAACAATACTGGGTATCACATTTACGTAAAAATTATGTTAGTGTTAAAATATAGTGTTAAATGTAACACCAGCCATTAACATTCAACAATATTGGGTGTCATATTAACATTTTAACAGTGTTAAAATCAAGTGTTAAAAGTAACATCAGTGTATTATTATCAACAAAGGAAATTATGGTGTTAAAAGGTGAACAGACATCACAAGTTGTCAATACAACGTATATTTGAGTGTAAACTCAGAGTTAATATCAAACACTTTATAGTGTTGCATTAACACTGCTCAGTAGCTAACAGAAAAGTATAATGGAGTCACCCTTCACACACCAGGACATACCTCTCACACATGGTGTCAATTTTTGGCCAATAACACAAACATAAAGTTGAACAACTTGATCAAACTGAACAAGAGAATGAACCATAACAACTAATTTTACTCTCATGAATGTCTTAAATAGTCAAAAACATGCAAAAACATAATTTCTGCATGATTTCTCAGCAAGGAATGCTGGGTAAATACTGGTCTGTCTGACATGAGGTGGAAGAGGGCRGGGCTTTTCAGAATACTGCTTTCAACACTGTATGGTGTCATATAACAACACTGTTAAGTTTTATATAAGCCTTAACTGTGGGAGGAGATTATTTAACACTGTCCAGTGTTGAGACAACACTGAGGAAATCAACACTGTGAATTAACACCAACACTGGGTGTCAGTTTACTCAAGTTTGGTGTAGACCATTGTATGGCAAGTAAAACAAAAAAAAAAAGGATTTGCATGTTTTTAAAATTATAATCCCAGCCCACATTGAGGCAGCACCCTACTGGAGGCAAATACAACCAGGGCTGGAGTTAAATAGGTCTAGGCAGACTGTGGCCGGGCCATTCAATACAAAAATGCTGCTAGAGGAACACGGTCAGATGCCTTATCCAAGTCCACAAGACAGATAATCTGGATGGGCAAATTCCAATGCCAGTGTTGGTACAGTGTTCCACAGCTGTCCAAAGAATCCACATCGTTCCTTCTGAGTTTGAGGTTCAACCATTGATTGGACTCTCTTCTCAAGAACCCTTGAATGGACCTTTCCAGGAAGCTAAAGTCTTCAGTATGGTCACTCAGCAGCTGACCAGACGATGCAGAGTCTTATGGTTGTGCTGTGTTTGTTTTCGCATACACTTTTCATAGACCCTGAGACGCACCGTGCCGAGCTCCAGGGAAACCCACCCACTGTGGGACATGTCACTGTGTTTCCTCCCACTGGAGTCTACAATGCGGAAAAAACAAATCTGAGACCCRTCATCCRATGTTATTTGTCCACWAATCTGTYCCTGTTAAAGCTCCACAGTTTTTATTAGTCACATTCCTCCGTGCACAACGTCAGTTTTAACTCCATCCATGAGTTTTTGGCCATTTGATTATTTTTAAACATGTCTGCTTCTGGAAACAACAGTCAGTTTCTTGAAGCGAGTAGTTTTTTTTTCTTTAAT